TGTGCTTGGGTGGTGCGTGCAGGTGACCCCGTCCGTGAGTTTCAGCAGGGAGGAGTTGGATCAGCTGACCAACAGGATCCAAAACGGAGGCACGGAGGTCGTTGAGGTGAGCGCGGGATCGGTAGCAGCAGTCTGGTCGTCAGGCGAACTTCTAGAGGCAGAAGGCACTTGTTGTAGAAACATCCTTGCACGAACAAAACACGAAGTGCATGCTGCTACTACGATCAATCACCACGGTACAAGCTGCACTTGTCATCGAGATTCCCGTCTGACCACACAATGGGCAGAGCGCATTGCCCACTCCACCGTATCACCTTACCTTGGGAAGTGGCCATTCGATCACCCTGTGCTGATCTGATCCGGCCTCCTGGCCGCTTGCTCCCTTCCCTCCCTTCCCGCGCTTCCCTCCCTGCCCTGCTGCAGGCCAAAGCCGGCGCTGGGTCAGCCACTCTGTCCATGGTGAGCCTCTGCGCGCCGTGCCGCACGCACATTGCCATACCCATGCCATGCCACTCTTGCGTCTATAAAATCACACCACTCATATAACCAGATATATGAAACCAGTCAATAAAGCAGCCAGGCAAAGTGTAGAGCATGTCAAGCTCCACCAGATGATTCGATTGCACCGTCCCCAGCACAATCCACCTGTACCCACCTGTACCCACCTGTACTGCCTTCACGTTCCCTTGCACTGCTCGCGCCGCTGGCCATTCAACCCTTGTCCCCTTTTCCGGTGTACTTAACCAATCCTTTGGCCGCTTCCTCCTGTTCCTCCCTCCCCACTGCCGTGAGCAGGCGTATGCAGCAGCCAAGTTCGCCCAGGCGTGCCTACAGGCCATGCGAGGGGAGGCAGGCATTGTGGAGTGCGCGTTTGTGCAGTCCACTGTGAGTCATCGTCTGTTCTCTCGCTGTGCGGCGACTCACAAGTCACTTGCTGGGGCTTGTCCGGTAGACCAGTTCAGGCAGGGTTGAGGTGCAGTCGGGCAATCAGCCGCTTCAGCGCTCCTGGATTTGATCTGAATTCATCTCTTACAACCCCACCATCCCCGGCCCATTCCCCTCAAGCCAGACCATCCACCGCTCATCACTCATCTCGCTTAACCCCGCCATCCACCCCCCACCACCCTTGTGGCTGTGCACGTGCAGGTGACAGAGCTACCCTTCTTTGCATCTCGAGTGGTGCTGGGGCGGCGGGGAGTGGAGGAGGTGCTCTCTCTGGGCCCATGACGGAATACGAGAGGTGAGTGCCTTTTCCTGCTGCCTTGCATGCACGAATCCTGGCCAGCTTGAGGGGTGTTGTGCCCTGGTGTGCCCGTGTGGCATCTCTGTGTCAATGGGTGTGTGCCCCTGTGTCAAGCCCCTGTGTCAATTGGTGTGTGTGTCGGTGTGGTACTGGGGCGGCGGGGAGTGGAGGAGGTGCTTTCTCTGGGGACGATGACTGAGTACGAGAGGAGGGTGTCTCGCTTGCTTGCAAACTGCGTGATTCTGTGACAGCGGGGTCATGAAGGGCAGAATGAGAGATTCTTCTGAATCATGCTGCATGCCTCGTTCTCCTCTTTCTGCACGTCTGAAGGTTCTGTCATCTGTTTTCCTCTCTCGCTTGCAGGGGATGGTTGGAGAAGCTCAAGCCTGAGCTCAAGTCCAGCATTGACAAGGGCGTTGAATTTGTTGCAAGGGCCTGAAGTGCAGTTACGGTGTAGGATTGAAATGTTATATTTTGACAAACGAAGAAGTGATGTGATTCGTGGATATTGTACATTCCGAACAGTCTTTCAAAACTTTGCTCACGAGTTGTGATAGTGTTCGTTCCTGTTGGCATTCATATATCTATGTATGTATTAGGAATATATATAAACACTGTATCCTAGCTAGAGGTAGTTCATATAGGGTACAACTATAAGGCATATCTATGTTCCCCACCCCTCTCTAGAAAGTTTTTTTCCCGCGATAGCTCCACCTTTCATCTCTTATCGTGTATGCAGTGATTACTCTTACATAGAATCTTTAGTGAAACGAGTACAGCGTCATCAGAAACCCGAAACCCGATGCTAGCGATCACCAGATCATTCAGTTCAACGGAAAACTCACCTGGCCACAGCGACACGTGAACCCTACCCACGTGTCCCCATTGCGTTTTCACCGCAGCAAGACACGTCATCTTCGACCGCGATCTCCTGCCAGACCGTCTAAGTTTCCCCTTTCGCATTTTTCCCCGCGACGCGCTCAATGACCGGCGCCGATCCCGCTGCAGCAGCCCCGGCGCCCGCGGAGGCGAGTGCAGGAGGCGCAGGCGGGGAGAATGCGGGGGAGCGGAAGGCCGGGGAGGCGGAGCAGAGCGCGGGGGAGGGGGAGCAGGTGGTGACGCCGTGGGAGGTGTCAGCTGAGGGCGGCATCGACTACAACAAGCTTATCGAGCAGTTCGGCTGCCAGCGCCTCGAGCCCGCGCTTATAGCGCGTATGGAGAAGCTCACCGGCGCGCGCGCGCACCCGTTCCTGCGCCGCGGCATCTTCTTTGCGCACCGGTGCGGCTAGAATAGGGCCTGTCGCGCACAGTGGTGCGAGTATTTTAGGCGCTGCTGGCGCGCACAGGTGCAGTGTTGACTGGCAAAGGCGTCAGAGCAAGTCATCGCCCTAGCCACCGGTACGAAGATCAACATAGAGTCGTTCTTGCAGGCGAACTCAACAGCAAAGGTGACTTTAACCGGTACACATAGATCCAGTGGAGAGGACGAGTGGCCGAATCGGTACGCAGGGTGAGGCCCCCACTCCCCCCCCCCCCCCCCCCCCCTTTCCCCCCCTTCCACACCCCCCTTCCCGCAGATACATAGTCCTCCCTTCTGCCTGTGCATGCCCCCTCCCTCCCAGCAACATTGACAATACCCCAGACGCAACGGGAGAAGCGTCATGCTTTTGAACAAGGCGCGAGCATCATACCCCCGTCAACGCTCTCGTCTCCCCCCTTTCCCCCACTGCCCGCCCCTCGCCTCCAGCCCCACTCGCCCACTCCCAAGTGACTTGGACGGATCCTGGGCGTGGCGGAGAAGGGCGAGCGGTTCCTCTTGCCACAGGGAGAGGCCACATCCGCACTCACTGCTCCCCTCTGCTGTCCTCCTCTGCCCTCCCGCACTGGAGACGAGCGAGCAGTTCTACCTGTGCACGCGGCGATGCCTCGTGTCAGGGGGGGCGGTGCCTCGTGTCAGGGGGGGCGATGCCTCGTGTCAGGGGGGGGGATGCCTCGTGTCAGGGGGGGCGATGCCTCCTCCCACTCAACGCTCTCCTCTTGCCCCCCTGACCACCACGCACGCCCTTTCCCTGCAGCGACTTCGATAAGATCCTGGACGCGGTGGAGAAGGGCGAGCGGTTCTACCTGTACACGGGGCGAGGGCCGTCGTCAGAGGCGCTGCACCTGGGCCACCTGATCCCCTTCATGTTCACTAAGTGAGTTGCAGTGGTGCGTGCTCTTGTCAGTGCACACCGGGCACTGCTACCGTTGCTAACGGTCTCGTCAGAGGCGCTGCACCAGGTCCAGTGTGGTCCAGTGTGGTCCATTGGACCAGTGGTCCAGGGGTCCAGTGGTCCAGTGAAGCACATTGTGGAGGAGCGTGAATGCGGAGGATGCACTGCTCTCAATGGCGCACAGCTCTCTCCACGCCCTCCTCTACAGGTGGTAGCAGGAGGCCTTCAAGGCGCCCCTAGTCATTGTGGAAGAGAACTGACGGCAACAAGTATTTGTGAGAGAGCATGAGCGTGGATTAGGGGTCGACATTGTCTCCTCTGTCCGTCCGCTTCCCTAACCGCACCAGGTGGCTACACGAGGCCTTCAAAGTATTTTGAGTCGACTCAAAATACACCCACCAGGTGGCTACACGAGGCCTTCAAAGTGCCTCTGGTCATCCAGCTCGCGGATGACGAGAAGTACCTGTGGAAGAGCATGAGTGTGGACTAGGCACCACTCTCTATGCTGTTCACGTCTCTCGATAACCCTCCTCAACAGGTGGCTGCAAGAGGCCTTCAAGGTGCCTCTGGTCATCCAGCTCACGGACGACGAGAAGTACCTGTGGAAGAGCATGAGTGTGGACGAGGCGCGGCGCCTGGCCCGGGAAAACGCCAAAGACATCATTGCATGCGGCTTTGACGTGGCGAGGACGTTTATCTTCTGCGACTTTGACTATGTGGGCGGGTGAGTGGGAGGGCGTTTGGGGGGCAGAGGGGGGTGGATGAAAGGTGGGAGGGGTGTGAGCATGGTTGGGCGACCAAGGTAACATCGTTGCACACGGCTTTGAAGTTTGACTTGGGAAGGGCGTTCATTCCTGTGACTTTGACTATGTGGGCTGGTGAGCATTGGGGCAGGTGGATTGGAAGAAGGAAGGGGGGACGAGGGGACGAGGTGATTGTGAAGAAGATGAGAGAACGCCAAGGGCATTATTGCATTAGGCTTTGATGTGGCAAGAACCTTCACGTTCAGCGGCTTCCGACTGTGCGCACATGGTTGCACTGTGGCAGGGACTTCTACCAGAATATCGTCAAGATTGCTCGATGCGTCACACTCAACCAGGCAAGGCGCCGCCCCCCTGGCAAGGCCATTGTCACTGGGATCTGATTTCACGATCTGGCGGAGAGTTTCCGCCCTTTGCCTTCTCATTCACTCTCGTGCGCAATGCTCTTTCTTCCCAGTTGTCTTACCTCGTGCTGGTTTACCAATCCGTTTTGATTCTTCGTGTTCTTCAAGCCCCATCACATCACATCACATCACATCACATCACATCACATGGATGCCTTGCTGTAAGGCTCCAAATCACATCTCATCTCATCACATCCCATCATGTGCGTCCCTGTGATGCCATCTCATCTCATCAGGCACGTGGCATCTTTGGATTCGACGGCGAGGATTGCATCGGCAAAGTGGGCTTCCCTCCCGTTCAGGTGCCACCCTGTCCATCCCCCCCCTTCTCTCACTCGCTCTTCCCTCACTCCCCCCCCTCACTTCTCTGCCTCTCCTCCCCCCTCTCCACCTTTCTGTCTCCTCCCTCCACCTCCCTGCTTCTATACCCACTCCGCCGTTCTCTATGGGCTCCGGCTCTGTTTTTCACTCCGTGCTCTCATCAACTCCTATCCTGGCTCACTGCCAGATCTCTGCTCGCCCCTAATCTCCCTCACAACCCTTCCCTCACCTTCCTTCCCCCTTCTCTTCACTCTCTCATGCCCCTATCTGCTCCTCTCTGCTACCCAAACCCTCTCTATGCCCAATCCCCTCTCTTTCCCCACCCCCCTGCCTCCTGCTGCCTCCCAGGCCGCCCCAGCATGCCCCTCGTCCTTCCCGCACCTGTTTGGGCGCAAGAACGAAGTGCGCTGCCTCATCCCCCACGCCATCGACCAGGTGCGTGCTCATGCCATGCCATGCCATGCCATGCCCATGTGCCATGCCATGCCATGCCCATGCCATAGAAACCCACTTGTTGTTCTATCGGATGCCCCCCCACCCCCCACCCCACCGCGCCCCCCTGCCAGGACCCCTGCTTCCGCATGACTCAGGAGGGCGCCCTCGTCTTTCCCCGCCTCCATGATCCCCCAAACCCTTTCCTCCATCTTCCCAAACCCCTTTCCTCCATCTTCCCAAACCCCTTTCCTCCATCTTCCCAAACCCCTTTCCTCCATCTTCCCAACACCCCTGCCACGGCACTTACTTCTGCTTGAACCATGACTTCGCCCCCCAAACTGTTCAGCTCCTACCTGTTCAACTGTCCTAACTGTTCAACTGTCCTAACTGTTCAACTGTCCTAACTGTTCAACTGTCCTAACTGTTCAACTGTCCTAACTGGACCAGTCAGTAGTCCAGTGCACCAGCGGAGCAGAAGTGGTCCAGCGGACCAGCGGAGCAGAAGTGGTCCAGCGGACCAGCGGAGCAGAAGTGGTCCAGCGGACCAGCGGAGCAGAAGTGGTCCAGTGGACCAGCGGAGCAGAAGTGGTCCAGTGGACCACGGCCCCTGCGCCCCACTCCCAGTCCCCCTCCCCCTCTCCGCCCCCCAGGACCCCTTCTTACGCATAAAGCAGGACTGTGCCCCCGCCTGGGCTTATGATGCTCGCACCCCCCCCATGGTCCCTGGATCCCCACTCCCCCTCCCCCTCTCCCACCCCCTGCCAGGACCCCTACTTCCGCATGACGCGGGACTGTGCCCCCCGCCCTGGGCTTCCACAAGCCCGCGCTCATCGAGTCACGCTTCTTCCCCGCGCTGCAGGTGAGACTGCTGGTGCAGGTGGACTGGTGCAGGTGAGAGCATGGCAGGGCAGAGCAGGTCAGACCAATGCAGGTTCTTCCGTGTTTCGGCTTCCACAAGCCCGCCCTCATCGAGTCACGCTTCTTCCCCGCACTGCAGGTGGGACTGTTGGGGCAGGTGTGAGGCTGGGGCAGGTGCGAGGCTGGGGCAGTTTTTTGTGTATTCAGGGAGGAGGAGGGGGAAGCAGGGAAGGGAGGGGTTTTCTCAAGTTGTGGCTGCAGAGTGAGTGTGAGCGGATGATGCTTGCTTACTGCTTCTGCCCCCTCTCTCTCCCAGCATCCACGTCTCCCAGTGCTTGGTGCAGGGAGAAAGGTGTGCTTTGCGTGCACTCAAAACGCACCGGTGGGCGGGCATGATGAAAGTGGCAGTATGAGTGCCAGTGACCTGAAAGCTTCTGTGGTGCCTTTTCTGTCTGTATAACCGCAAGGCTCTCTTGTTGATCCCAGGTATTTGTGCCATTGCCTGTTTGCGTCTCACTGCTGTGCTCAGGGCGAGAGTGGGAAGATGAGTGCAAGTGATCCGAACTCTGCTGTCTTTGGTGACGGACTCGCCAAAGGAAATCAAGAACAAGGTACGACTGTATGATTCTAATTTCAATATAATGTTGTTTTGCTGGATTTTTTCAAAAATATTTGGATCCAAGTATCATGCTTTGCTTTCTCCACTGTTGCCTGCCTCTCCCGCCCTCCCCCAGATCAACTGCTACGCCGTCTCAGGCGGGGGTGCGACCATGTGCCTCTTTCCGCAGAGCCATCAGCATCCCCACCCCCCCCCGTCCCTCCCTCCACCCTTCTCTCCATTTCCCCTCAGATCAACCGCTACGCCTTCTCAGGCGGGGGTGCCACCATCGAGGAACACCGGGCCAAGGGGGCCAACCTCGAGGTGAGGCCTGCGCGCTGCGTTTTCCCGTGCCTCGCCTCCTGATGTGGCCCGACGTATGGTCTGGCCATGAGTTTACTATGAGTGTCTTGCACGCCCCATCTCAACGGCACCTCATCTCTCAACGCACCTCATCTCAACGCACCTCATCTCAACGCACCTCATCTCAATGCACCTCATCTCAACGCACCTCATCTCACAACCCTCCTTCTTATCCCATGCATCCCCATGGCAATCAGGTGGACGTGCCAGTGAAGTACCTCTCCTTCTTCCTAGATGACGATGCTGAGCTTGAGCACATCAAGACGGTGAGTGCATGATGTGGGTGTTGCTGTGTTGCACGCAGCGCATTCCTGTGCAGTGCATTGCACGCATTGCTGTGGCAGGTTTAGGCATTTCAGGTGTGATAGTCTCTCCTTCCTAGACGACGATGCTGAGCTTGAGCACATAAAAACGATTGAGTGCATGTGGTTTACACTATTATGGTATGGCCGTCAGTGCATGCACACATGTCAGTGCATGCACACATGTCAGTGCATGCACACATGTCAGTGCATGCACACATGTCAGTGGATGCACACAGTCCAATGCCATCAAGGTGGACGTGCCCCGTACAAATCCTCTCTCGGCCCGGTAGGCCTCCTCTCTCGCCCCGTAGGCCTCCTCTCTCGCCTGGTAGCCTCCTCTCTCGCCCGGTAGGCCTCCTCTCTCGGCCGGTAGGCCTCCTCTCTCGGCCGGTAGGCCTCCTCTCTCGCCCGGTAGGCCTCCTCTCTCGGCCGGTAGGCCTCCTCTCTCGGCCGGTAGGCCTCCTGTCTCGGCCGGTAGGCCTCCTCTCTCGCCCGGTAGGCCTCCTCTCTCGCCTGGAAGGCCTCCTCCCTCGCCCGTAGGCGTCCTCTTTCACCCGGTGGGCCTCCTCTCTTGCCTGGTAGGCCTCCTCTCTCGCCCGGTGGGCCTCCTCTCTTGCCTCCCTCTCTCGGCCTCCTCTCTCGCCCGGGAGGCCTCCTCTCTCGCCGGATAGGCCTCTTCTCTCGCCTGGAAAGGCCTCCTCCCTCGCCCGTAGGCGTCCTCTTTCACCCGGTGGGCCTCCTCTCTTGCCTGGTAGGCCTCCTCTCTCGCCCGGTGGGCCTCCTCTCTCGCCTCCTCTCTCCCCCGGTAGGCCTCCTCTCTCGCCCTGTAGGCCTCGTCTTCGCCCGGTAGCCCTCCTCTCTCGCCGGTAGGCCTCCTCTCTCGCCCAGTAGGCCTCCTCTCTCGCCCATTAGCCCTCCTCTCTCCGCCCCGGTAGGCCTCCTCTCCGCCCGGTAGGCCTCTTCTCTCGCCGGTAGGCCTCCTCTCTCGCCCGGTAGGCCTCCTCTCTCGCCCGGTAGGCCTCCTCTCTCGCCCGGTAGGCCTCCTCTCTCGCCCGGTAGGCCTCCTCTCTCGCCCGGTAGGCCTCCTCTCTCGCCCGGTAGGCCTCCTCTCTCGCCCGGTAGGCCTCCTCTCTCGCCCGGTAGGCCTCCTCTCTCGCCTGGTAGGCCTCCTCTCTCGCCCGGTAGGCCTCCTCTCTCGCCCGGTAGGCCTCCTCTCTCCCGCCCACATCAGATGAGTGAGTGCACGAATGACCAGTCAGTTTGTCCATTGTTGCTTGTCATCAACAAACCAGTGAGTGTTGCATCATTGTTTTGTCTAGCTGAGTGCGACCTCGTGTGGTACCTGATATCACGAAGGCCGTGCATGTGTGCTGCCTGATCGTTGCAAGTTCCAACCACCCTCCCACTCCCTCCCTTGCCCTCCCTTCCTCTCCGTGCAGGAGTACGGGGCGGGCGCATGCTAACGGGCGATGTGAAGAAGCGGCTGGTGGAGGTGCTGACAGCCATGGGTGGAGCGCCACCAGAAGGCACGCGAGCTGGTCACGGACGAGGTGAGTCGCCCTGGTAGGTACTGCTACTGTGGTCGCTGTCTGCGGGCTTTGTTGCTGCACCCACCCCTTGATGATCCACCTTTGAATCAGCGCCCTGGCTGGAGGTGCTGACAGCCATGGTGGAGCGCCACCAGATGGCATGCGAGCTAGTCACGGACGAGGTGAGTCGCTCCTCCTTTCCCTCTGGATTGCACTCTCCCCTGGCCAGTAGGCAGCGCTGCGCTCGCCCTGCGCTGCTCACCCCTACTGCTGTGGCCGCCACCTCTGCCCCGACCTTCAGCTGTCTGATCCACCTCCCTGTTGTGTTGTTGTGATGTGTCCCCTGGCTTGCTTGTGCCTCACCTGTCATCCATGCATGCATCCATGTCTGTCATGCTTCCCACCCAACGCGTGCAGATGGTGGATGCGTTCATGGCAGTGCGGCCATGCCACACATGTTCTGTTGATTACCACCGATGGCGAAGTTCTTGGACTTCTACTGTTGTGTCCTCCATTGTGTGTTCTATCAGGTATAAGGAATATACATTCATTGTGAAATATTCTGTCTTTCATCTGTCAGATCAAATCAGGGCAAAAACCACACATCCTATCAAAAAGCATTTCAGGGCGGAAGGACTGCCACCCCTGTTGCTAGCTTTCGCCTCAACACCCACTCTACCGTACAGGTTCTGGCTCTTAAAAACGCTTTTAAAGCCAAATCGCCCTCGCATGCTTCGCCTCAGGCATATCCATGGCCGCCACAACGCTCTCCAACAGCACCAGCACCTGCTTGCAGTCCTTATCAATCACCTTTGGCACCAACACCAGCCCGTGCGGTGGCATCTGCTCCACAAACATGAGTTACCCATCAATGGGTAACTCATGTTTGTGAGTGCCATTGATGGGTACAAACCCCTCCCTTAATCTAGAGATTCTGGCTCTTGGAAAAGGCCAGCCGGATAACCTGTCCCCCAATCGCGCTCGCATGCTTCGCCACGAGAGCATCAGTCGCCGCCTCAACGCTCTCAAACAGCACCAGCACCTGCTTCTTGCCGTCCTTATCAATCACCTTAGACCCCAGCACGGGCCCATGCGGGGCCATGTGCTCCACAACCATCTCGGCGGAGGCGTCGGCAGGCAGGTTGCTGCAGTGCAGCATGCGCGTGGGCGCGCAGCAGTGCCGGTAGTTCTTGGGCGCGTTGCGGCCAAAGCGGTTGAGGTTGGAGGTGGAGTAGTCCTTGGTGTCGGCCGAGGGGTTGATGGACGGGTACTTGGAGTAATTCACCTCCAGCCGCTTGCCAAACACCGTGGCACCCTGAAAGTTGTGGGGGGAAGAGGGAGCAGAGAGATGTGACATGAGATGAAAGCACCCCCTTGGTGTCGGCCGACAGGTTGATGGACGGGTACTTGGAGTAGTTCACCTCCTGCCGCTTGCCAAACACTGTCGCACCCTGAAGGGTGGGGATGGTGGGGGGGTGGGATTGGCGGAGGTGGGATTGGCGGGAGGTGGGAGGGCAGAAGAGAGCACAGGTATGGGTAATAAAGTGATAGAAACGCATCACCTTGGTGTTGGCAAGCAGATCCATGAAAGGGTGGACTTGGTGTGGTTCACCTCCAGCCACTTGCCTCACACAGGGGGCGCGAGGCATGAGCTGCACGAGGGCGTAGCCGGGCTTGCTTGAGGCACCTCAAACGCATGCCGCATGCCGTGAGCCATACAAACCATACAGGCCACACTGACCATACAGACCACACTGACCATACAGGCCATACGGAGTACGGACCCAACAAACCATATGGTACATGACAGCATACCTTGAGGTACGTCACGGCAAGCTCCCCTGCAGCCCGTCGGCGAGCTGCACGAGGGCGTGGTCGGGCTTGTTGTGGAGGAACTTGATGCGCAGCACGTTGCCGTAGTTGGACACCAGGTTGAACAGCTTGTCCGCGTCAACCACCTGAAAGGGATGGACGGTACCGGAAAGGGAAAGGGTGACGTGAGGTAAGGATGGTGCATGGTAAGGGCAAGGGGAGTGCATTGGTATCACTTGCTCCGTGACAACCGCAACGGTGTGCGCGTCTCCAGCAGCAACTGCCCAAAACAGGACAGCCTTCCTCATGGGCTACGTCAGCATGCCACATGTCGCACGCTAGACATTAGCGTACCTCGTGGTTGATGTTAGAGATGAGCAGCGTGCAGCGGTCGTTGGTTCCTGTCACGCCAGGCGGCAGGTTGCCTCCAAACATCTGTGCCGCAGCTGCTGCAGCCATAGTCGCGCCCTGAATACAGCAATGCGATATAAATAAGGCCAGTTGAAAAAAGGAAGTGCAAACATCCACTGTAAGAAGCGGCAGCAGCAGCAGCAGCCGCAATGAGCGTAACGGCTTACCCCATACGCATTAAGCCCGCCCATGCCAGGCTGGGGCATGCCAGGTTGGCCCATCTGGCCCATTTGCCCCATCTGACCCATCTGCCCCATCTGTCCGGGGAACACCCCGGGCCGTTGCCCAGGAATGCCGCCATACACGTTCCCACCCTCGCCGAACAGAGATTGCTGCTGCGAAATCGAAAGCAGAAAAAAACCAAAAACAAAAGAACGTCAGCCAGACAAACGACAGGGAATATACGTTCACGGGACAGAAACGCCCTGTCACCTTACCATGATGTTTCCGGGCGCCTTCCCGGCTGGTCCGGGAGTTGGTTGACGTAGTCCCTGGTGCGCTCGTTGTTGTATGCACCTGCAGCTCGCTCAGACTGCACGCACACACAACACACACACACGGCGACGACGACCACCACCACCCCATTCACCCGCGCGCACACATGCAAGCGTAGAAAAACGCATGCACACGGATCATGAAGAATTCGACATATTGGCATGACGAATTTGAACAGACAGGTATTTAGCCAAGACTAGAATGGATGTCCAGGACGATGGTCTCACTTGGAGAACTGGATGTCGAGCGTGCAGCAGCCGTCGTAGATGTTGCGGCCCTGCAGGTTGTTCTTGGCCTGGATGGAGCTCGCCTGGTTGTTGTACTGCACCAGCGCCTGCAGACCTGCAGCGCGCCAAGCACAGCACAGCAGGACAAGGAGACACGGGACAAGCACGAGAGGCAGCACAACGCGGGTCAGAACGCCACACCTGATGCAGCACAGCCGGTTTTCCCCGAGAGAGGACGATCCTCACTCCGGTGCATGGCAAGCTAGGGCCGAACTACAGGGTCGGCTTGAGAGCAGGAGAAGGGCAGAAGGAGCGGAAGAAGCAGACGGAGCAGAAGGAGCAGAAGGAGCGGAAGGAGCAGGAAAGAGACGGCGGAGAAAGGAGCGAGGGCGAGGGCGAGGGAGGGAAGGGAAGGGGAGGGGAGAGGGAAAGGGAAATCCGACCAGCAGCTTTCTGGAAAGTGACGATCTTCTCAACAAAGCCATGGGGAGAAAAGACTTGGTGGAGCACATCCACGTTGATGGGATAGAGCGGGTTGTGGATAGTGACTAGGATTATGCGGTTAGGGGCTCCCTGGTCAGACGACGAGAAGGAGAGGGGAGAGGGAACGGAGGGAGGAGAGGGGGAAGAGAGAAGAGGAGAGAAGAGGGGAGGGAGAGGGAGAGGGAGGGGTAAGAGCTGAAGAACAGATAAGAGAGAAAGGCGGAGATGAAAGGTACGAAAGGCGGAGAAAGGTGACGAAAGGCGGAGAAAGGTGACGAAAGGCGGATAAAGGTGACGAAAGGCGGATAAAGGTGACGAAAGGTGGAGAAAGTTGACGAAAGGCGGAGAAAGGTGACGACAGGCGGAGAAAGGTGACGGCAGGCGGAGAAGGTTGACAACAGGCTACGGAAACGGACGAGAGCAGAGAGGAGACGGGGACGGCGTGAAGCGGATGGTCGGTCCGGATGTTCCTGGTCGGCCGAGCGGCTACTCAGCTCAATGCGATCGAGACAGTCCGCCGACGGTCTCAGACCGACCACCCGGCTTCAGCCTTGGCGGTCCTCGTTAATCAGTTGGAATTCCGGCCAGTCACGATTCACGTACCTCCTGGTGCGTCCTGGCCGGGTTCTCGTTAGGCGTGAGGACCTGATGAGAGGAGAACTGGCAGTACACATTCCTCCCCTGCACATGGTTACATGGTTACACGTGGCTGTGAGAATTTAACGGCGATCGACAGCACGATGAGCCGAAAAGCAAAAGTACCATGAGAAATACAAACGGATAAAAAAAAATGTATTACTTGATGGAGGCCTGCACGCCAGTGTAGAACTGAATCATGTTGATCGCAGCAGCAATGTCCTGCATCTCAATGAGGGCCTGCACGAACCGCGAACGGAAATCGTGAGAGAATGAAGTAGAATAACGAAATCGACGACGCTGACGGCCGCACGAGAAAAAATATCCATGCGAAATAAAAAGCGAACCTGATTCTTGGCTCTCATGACGACAACCCTCTGTACCGGACCGAAGTTCTGCGCCAGCTGCTGCACGTCGACCTGCAGAATCGGAAAATGTTATCAATGGACATTAAAACGAAAACGAGGAGTGAGCTTTCAAATCGGCGGAATACACGAAAAATCACGGAAATTCTACCAACGAACACAGCAGATCTGGACCGTGTAGGTGTTCGTAATCCTCACCTCAGTGGCTTCAGATGGCACATTCCGGATGTGAATGACCTTCGACGCTGATTCGGCCATGGCTAACCGATCAAACGGAGAGGAAAGTTAGTAGGGAACTAATTTGACACGAGAGAAGGAAACTAATCTGAGGGTTTTGAGGCTGTGATTGAGAGATCTAGAACTGCAGTTCGATTCGAGTATGACGGTACTGTGTTGGCATGGATGAGAGGAGGCGAGCGGAGCCGAGCTGGCCAGCCCTGGCTTGAATAAGTTTCCAAGTCATGAGAGCAGCAGACGAAGAAGGGAGCGCTGGTGGGTGTACATTGTACACTCATTCCAGTACCACCCATTGGCTCTATACATGCAATATTAAATCTCCATCATCCATCACATGGCTCTAGCTAGCTACTCATCAGGTTCTACCACAACTCTCAGAATAGTTTCGTTAAGATAAAATCCAGGTCCTTATTAAAATTCACATGTCAACAAATAATGAAGCAAGCAAAATCTTCTCATCATATCACGACGCAATGACCAATAGGTTTTCCTTATAAATACCAGGCCAACAGTCATTGCTTGTAGCGCCTGCACATGCTCAAGGTTTCACCATTTCTTTTAGATCCCTACATCTTGCGATGCGGTTTCAAGCGGGTACGTGGTTGTCATGCCCAACGTCCGGTCTGGATGCTCCGCCAAAACGTCGACCGATCGTCACCATACATCCACCAACCTCACCAACTGGTCGACCTCAGCAGCCAATCACGGCGACCCTTCCTACCACCCCACTGGATTTCCCACAGTCTGCTCCACTGACTTTCCAATCCCACACTCCACTCCACCCACCACCCCTCTCCATCCCTCCCCTGCATGCCCTGATGCTGCCTCCCTCCCTCCTCCCCTCCCCTGCATTCCTGATGTTCCCTCCCCACAATCTAGGCCAGGTGGCCTGTCTGCTGAATTCCCTTATCTGGTGGTGTCAGATGGCTTATCTCAGCAGCTTTTGTATGGCCTTGTATGGTCTGCTCATTGTCTCGTCTACAACCTTCCCAAGCTCCTGCGCCTCTTACTGACCAGAGCGTTTCCAGCATCCTATTGAATGGTCGGTTTCTACATTCGGATTCTGAGGCCTGCGATGATCGCTTAGCTGCTCTGCTGCTTAGATAGCTTTCGTGATCTTGTAGTTGCTATTAGTTTGGACACTTCCTTAAAAGCGCGAGTCCCAATGGATCATACTTCAGAATGGCGAACATTCCGAGTCTTTCCATGTCATTGCTTCTCCTGATCGCTCTCGCCGCGTTGTCGCCTTTAACCGCTGGCCGCTCCGCGACTTACAAGAGGCGTCTCGCCGCTTTCGCCTCCTCTTTGGTATGGTTCTCGTCTTGCCGTTTTCACTGGCCTCCCTGGTACGGTTCTTATCTCGCCGTTCTCGCCGCTTCCGAACCTTAAAATATAATGAAGGCAATGAAGGCACTTACCTGTCAAACAAGTGTTTCTGAAACCACGGGTGGTGTGGGATGGGTGGTGGTGTGTGGGATGGCTATGGTGGTTCGGCCTGTGCTTTGATGCTCGTTTTCAGCAGATGAACGATAGTCCCGGCAGTCGCCTCCAGCGAGAGAATTCGTTTCTGTGAATTCTAGAAAACCAACCCATTTATGTGGCTACGGTGCCTTGGCCTGTGTTTTAGGCGTCTATGCTGCCTTGCTCTGTGCTTCTGTGCTTCTGTGCTTCTGTGCTTCAGCAGATAGATGAGAATCCCGGAATTCGCGTCCGGCGAGAGAGCTGGGTTTTGAGAACTCTCAAAAATCAACTGCTTGACTTCTGCTTCTATGCTGCCTTTGTCTATGATTCTGTGCTTCAGCAGATGGACGAGAGTCCCCGGCAGTCGCCTCCAGCGAGAAAGTGCCGCCGCTTGGACTCCTTCCACGAACCTTCCCAGCTTCCTGCAGCAGAGCGTTCCGGCTGACTCATCCAGCGACGTCGCTGACGCAAGTCCGGGTCAGAGCAACGGGGCGACATCCCGCACCGACCCTGGACTTGCCGTTCCTGCTGATTCTGCATCAAAAGCAGCATCATCATCATCCTCATCATCGACATCTCCATCCACAGAATCTACACAGTCGAACGGTTCTGTGAAGAACGACCCAAGCCCCTACCAGCAGCCAGGTTCGCAGCAACCAAACCAGCACCCACCACCGCCGCAACAGCAGCAGCAGCAGCAGCAGTGGCAGCCGGAGCCGTTCGGCCAAGTGCTACCTTCCCAAGGCGACCTGGCATCGCTCCCCGACTGCACGCGGCAGCTTGCGCCCTTCCCCAAGCTCAACCGGTCGGACGAGGCGGTCAGGCGCTTTGCCTGCATGGCGGAGACGTACCTGCGCCCCTGGGTGGGGATGCCGCTGGGGGGCAGCGGCGGTAAGAGCGGGGGTGGAGGGGAGGCGGAGGAGGAGCCACGTGGCATTATTTCGCACGCCATGCTGCAGCACGTGGCGTCTGAACCCGGGGTGAGCTCTGTCACTTGACACGTGTCAAGAATCCGTTCTTCCCCAGCAGAACTGGCTCTGTAACTTCATACCTGCACAGGTCTTGCTGCACCCACTCAATCAGTCCGTTCCCCCTGCCTATCCCCCATACCCACAACCCCGCCAGTTCATGTCGTGTTTGGGTCGCATCCGGATAATAGACGGCAAGGTCTTTTTCCGCTACGGGGCTTCCACTACCAGTGGGACCGCCTGCTTTCCAGTCAACTCAAACCCCATCCCCCCCTCCCCCACTGTTCTCTCACTTTCCCAGTTCATGTCCTGTTCGGGTCACATCCGGATCATAGACGGCAAGGTATTTTTCCGCTACGGGGGCTTCCACTACCAGTGGGACCGCCTGCACCGCTTCGTGCAGTCAGTGAAGCTCATCCAGGCCGCCCTGCACCAGTACGGCCTGCACCGCCTGCGCGCTGAATTCTTCCTCTCCACGTGCGACCTCCCCAAGAGCTTCGACAGCTCCCTCTCGGGCATGTTTGGCGGCCGGCCGATCTTCAGCACGGAGTGGCTGCCCGGCACGCTGGACATTATCGTGCCGGATCCGCTGGACCTGTCAGAGGATTACCAGGCTGGCAAGGACGCCAAGGTGAGAGCCGCCTGGGCTGCTGGATCAGAGGGTTATTAGGCAGGGAGAGCGGGCGAGGTGAGGGTTGCTAGGCAGGAAAGGACGCCAAGTTGATCAACTGCGTCTTCTGCAGCTGCCCATGTGCTGCACGTGCCAGGCAGACCCCACATGTGTTGCGAATCCAACACACTCCATGCATTCACGTCCCTTCCTTCCTCACGCACCAGACCCCTCAGGAGAGAAAGGCAGGCAATGCAGTATTCAGGAGTGGCTTGACCAACTTTAAACTCAGTCTATCTGTAGACGAACATCCCATCCCACACATGCTTCATCCATCCATGCACCTATCTTTGCGTGTTCACCTGACAGACCCCCTGGGAGAGCAAGGCGTTTATGGTTTAGGGTTGGGGTTGAAGGTTCATGGTTTAGGAGCGGGCTCCTGGAGGGGGCTATAGCATCAGGCTCTAGCAGCTGGTCTATCTGTCGGCGCCTAACCACCCACACATGCTCCATCCGTGCACTATCTTTGCCATTCACCTGCCAGACCCCCTGGGAGGGCAAGGCAGTCTTCAGGGGTAGGCTTCATCAATATCTATCAAGCTTCTAGCTGGGCCATTGATGGAGGCACCTCATGATTCAACTCCCCTCCCACCCTCACCCGCCAGACCCCCTGGGAGAGCAAGGCGAGCAAGGCGGTATTCAGGGGCGGCTTCACCAACTTCAAGCTGGGCCCCGACCACCGATGGCGCGTCAGTCCGCGCTACCGCCTGCACCGGTCAGACACTCTTACCCTTCCAAGCCCGTTCCTCTGGTCCTCCAGTCTTTCCTCTCCCCCCTCCCTCTCCTTCCCCCCACCACGTCTTCCACCACTCGTCCCTGTGCTGCTTTCTTGTGAATGAAAGAAGAGTGCTTTTGACCTCAGTTGGCCAGTCAGCCTGCACTACTACCTGCACTGTTCATATGCCCTTGTGTGACTTACACCACTTTCCCTTCCCAGACTTACACATCTTCCGAGCTCTTGCCTGCTTGCCCTCGGTTCAGTTTCATGCTCTTGCTTCAGTGTACTCTCCCCTCCCACACTCTGTCCCTTCCCCATTCCTGCACTGCTAATCTCCTCTGCATTTGTGAGCGAAGTGATGTTTTTCTTAGAAATCGATTCTTCCAGCCTTTCAAGGCTCCAAGCTTCCCTACCCTCTGCTCTGTGCTGTCTGCTTGCTGCATTGGGGGGCATGAATGCACTCACGTGGGGCCCTCTCACGTTACCATGTGTGCCTGTTGCATGTGGTATGGTATTTCCCTCCCTGTTGCCTTCGGCAAATGCAAGCTGGGTTATGCATGTGGCGTCATTTGATGATGGATGGGTGGGTGTTGTGGCATTGGGTTGGGATGCAGGGGCGGACTGCACGCTTGACAGGATGACTGATTTGCGCCCGGATTTACTCGATGCGCGAGTCATGAGACTACTGGTTGACGACAAGACAAGAAACATGTGAGTGCCTCGTGCAAACACTTAGAGAAGCCATCAAAGGGCCAGAAACGTGTGACATGCAAACACTTTTGAAACGTCTTTGAAGACCAGAAACATGTTTTTTAGACGCAAACAGGACTCCAAAGACTGGGAAACATAGCGGCAATTATCTCACAGACGATGCCCTTTGCTGACTAGTCACCTGTGCATGCGTGGCTGCAGGGCCATGAACGACGGGCTGAGCGAGGCCCCCAAGATGGGCAAGGCGGAGTCGCAGCGCTTCAAGTACGAGGTCGTCGTGGACGGGGGGGCCGGCTCCTGCCGCACTTGTGGGGTTCTGGGGAGCGATCAGGTGGGTATGGTGTTTCTTTCTATTGGTAGGCTGGGCTGGGCAGCGACCAGGTGGGCTGGGCAGCGACCAGGTGGGCTGGGCAGCGACCAGGTGGGCTGGGCAGTGACCAGGTGGGCTGGGCAGTGGGCTGGTGGGTCTGTTGTGGTGCACGCGTGCCAACTCTGATTCCATGTCGTTGCCTCGGAGGCCACGCCCTTTGCTCAGCTCCATCAGTAGCTGCTCCAGCCGGGAGTGATTCTAAAGCTGATTCCATTATCTTCCCATCCCCCCCCCCCCAAAAAACCCCTTCGCCAGGCCATGATTCGGCAGGACACGCCCTTCGCCCAGTTCTACCAGCCGCTGCTGCACCCGTGGCGGCACTTCATTCCCACGGACCACTTCTTCGGGGACCTCTTTGACCGTGTGGAGTGGGCTCGCAAACACGATAAGCAAGTGCAACACATCATCGCCAACGCGCACCGTGTTGCCAGGTGCGGATCGGCTTCCCTCCCGTTGCGTGATGCTATTGTGCTGCCATGCATTGACACCCTACCCACACTTGCCCCTGGCGCCACTTCACAGGCCATTGCACTGGACGAACCTTCTTCAGCATGTCTCTGTTCCCTCCACGTCACTTATCAGGTGGGGATGTTCCCTTGAAAATCGCACAATCCTACCGGTCTATTCTCCTCGCCAAGCACTCCCCTCAAGCCCTGGAAGACCTTTCCACCTTCACTCCTCCACACAGGGCATCCTCCTCGTGCCTTCTTCTCCCCTCCTCTCCTCATTCCCCCATTTCTCCATTCCTCCATCCCCCCAACCTCCCCCCCCCCCCCCCCCCAATCAGGTGGGGCTGTTCCCTCGAGGGTCGCACCCTCTACTGGGCCATTCTCCTCGTCAAGTACTCCACTCAAGCCCTGGAAGACCCCTCCGCCGTGCAACCCCCCGAACGAGTCTCCACGTGCCCCGCGCCGCCAGACAAGGCGCGCATGCGGCCCACACAGGACGAGAGTGATCGGGAGACACCGGACCCGGCCTGGCCGCCCGTGTGTGCGGATAAGGACGTGGCGCGGGTGAGGCAGCCGCTGTGCACCTTCTTCTGTGTGAAGGGACCCATGCCAAGAAATAGGCAGATCTGGCTCAGCGCTGACCTGTTTGACTCCGTTGACTTTGTGGGGCCTCACCTAGCTGACATGGAGTAGGCTGACACTAGGTGTGAGGTACCAGATTCTTGATAGGTGAGGCTATCCGTTGCATGTGGCTGTCATATAAGGGCGTGGTTCCTTAAAGCGAGGGTCTCAAGAAGCAGAAAACCAAATCCAAAGGTTTTGGATTTCCCCCCGATATTGACAGGGTTACCCTTTTAAGCCCCGCGACCAGCAACGACCTGAGAAGCGAGATCCTGATTGGTCCAACCATCCGCTTCTCAGGTCGTTGCTGGTCGCGGGGCTTAAAAGGGTAACCCTGTCAATATCGGGGGAAAATCCAAAACCTTTGGATTTGGTTTTCTGCTTCTTGAGACCCTCGCTTTAAAGCTAGAACAGCCTGTGCCCGAATTTCCACCAGACTGTACCACGCCCTAATTCCTGAAGGTCTGACAAACTCGCGCCTAGCTGACATAGAGGAGCAGATGGCTGCTGATGGGGCGTTGCTTGTTGAAGCAGCAATTACGGCTGTGTGGCGCGTGCGAAGCTGTTTATCTCTGTTGGACACTGTGGGGCCTCGGGTTTCTGAGCTGGCTTCAACGTCCGCTATCAAGCATGAAGTACGACTGTGAATGCTATTCCACATGATACCTCTGACGTTGCGGATACAATGCTTCAACCACGGCACGTAAATTGGGGTTTCTTTCTCTCTTTTTTATAAAAAAAATATTATATATATATGAAGGCACTTCACGCGTAGCATCCATTGAGAAAGCCCCAAAGAGAACGCAGCGCCTCACGCGAAAGAGTCTTCCGCGTACTTCTGAGCAGTTGCAAGGAGGTGAGCCATGGGGAAATCACCTGAGATGGTCTCAACAGGCCGCCCCCGTTGGAAGATGATCACAGTGGGCGTGGCGCTGACGTTGAACGTCTGGGCCATGAACGGGAGGTTGTCAGTGTTCGCCTTGCAAAAGGCGAGCTTACTCGCGTCCCCGAACCTCATTGCGAGCTCATCGACGAAGCGAACAACCTCGTCGCACTGAGCTTCGGCGGTCCAGAAGAGGACCAGGACGGGAGTTTCGCGATGAAGAACGAGGCTGTTGAAGGTTTCGTCATCGAGGTCTACAACCATCGTAGATAAATAACAATCAGCCTAAGCTGGCAGCTAAACAGAAGAATCAGCGAAATGCAGAAAGAAATGAAGGCGGTACTGACGTTTGGTGGCAGTGGCAGTGGTTTAGTAGTCCACTCACAACGCGCGCAGAGCGCGTCAGAGAGCGTTAAGCAGGATCGCAAGCAAATGCGCGTCCCAATCCAAGATTGGCTACCCGCGTAAGCTTATCCGAATGTCGCATAAGCTTATGCGACAGTCAAAGTGGATAAGCCCAAGCAGGAGGCATTGGAGTTCACAAGGTAGTCCCAAGGTTGGCCTCCCAGTCTAGGGCTGTCGCATTAGCTTATCCATCTTGACCGCATACGCTTACGCGACGGTCAAGAATAGGGAGCGACGTCGCCATTGAAGCTTTGCGAGAGAGAGCGACGGTCAAGTTCAGCGGGGCGACGACGCGTTGAGATTATGAGATGTTGCCGCTGGCTGTCAGGTGGGGTTTGGTGGTGGGCGGTGGTCGGTGGTCGGCTGGAGGCAGAGATCATTGCGGTATTACGGTACTACGGTATTCTGAGGCATTCTGAGCCCTAGTCACTTGATTCTACTCTCGATGATGCCATGCCATCCCTCCTACAGCCAGCCCAATGGCCTCAAAAGACAGGAGCGCTACGGCGTAAACTTCCTACCCTTTTCGCTAATTCAGCAACTAACTGTAAGGAATTAGGAATTACTTACTGAGGCTTGCTACAGAGCGTACGACTCGAACAGTCCCGAACCATCGCCAGGGTTCCAGACCTTTCAGTCCGAGCCTCCTGGGCCTTTCCGGACCTTGCTACGACACATCGAGGACCTTCGATACCTTTTTCGAACCTTCCGATCCTACGTTCAGGATCACCCTAGGCTTTCTATACATTGTTTTGTCTTTCATTTTATTGTCATTCACTCGTTCACAGTTTCGCCATTGCCCTCCGCGCTTCTCGGCAGTCCCATTCATAACACTATCTATCAACTTGTATATTAGTTGTTATAGTCTCAATAGATGCATACTCTTAGAGAGTACAACACCAAAGCATAAGAACCCTTGTATGCCCTTGTCTAGACTACTTCATTACGCTAACATGTTATCGGAGTAGGTAGTGTCAAATCATATATATATATATATATATATGATTTGACACTATATTGTCAAACATATGTATTTGTCATGCTTATATAGACTGTATAGGGTAGCCTCTTAGAGGGTACAACACTTAGGTATATCTGTGTGTACTCTCACTCTACCATTATTCAATTCTCTATTTGATATAATATCACGCGTAGGTAGGATCCCCCCCCCACCTACCGCTTCCGCTCGCCCCCTAGCTGGGCCCCGTCGTGCCTCCCTCCTAGCCGCGACCCTCCCTAGCCCCGTCGCGCCCCTCCAGGGCCCTGTCGCGCCCCTTTTCTGGGCCCCGTAGCGCCTCTCCTGGGCCCCGTCGCGCCCCTCCTAGGCCCCGTAGCGCCCCTCCTAGGCCTCGTCGCGCCCCTCCTGGGCCCCGTAGCGCCCCTCTTGGGTTCAGACGCGCCCCTCCTGGGCCCCTGTAGTGCCCCTCCTGGGCCCCGTCGCGCCCCTCCTGGGCCCCGTAGCGCCCCTCCTGGGCCCCATCGTGCCTCCCTCCTAGCCGCGACCCTCCCTAGCCCCGTCGCGCCCTTCCTGGGCCCCATCGCGCCCCTTCAGGGCCCCGTCGCGCCCCTCCAGGGCCCCGTCGCGCTCCTTTCTGGGCCCCGTAGCGCCTCTCCTGGGCCCCGTCGCGCCCCTCCTAGGCCCCGTAGCGCCCCTCCTGGGCCTCGTAGCGCCCCTCCTGGGCCCCGTCGCGCCCCTCCTGGGCCCCATAGCGCCCCTCCTAGGTTCAGTCGCGCCCCTCCTGGGCCCCGTAGTGCCCCTCCTGGGCCCCGTATCGCCCCTCCTGGGCCCCGTCGCGCCCCTCCTGGGCCCTGTAACGCCACTTCTGGGCCCCGTCGCGCCCCTCCTGGGCCCCGTCGAGCCCCTCTTGGGCCCCGTCACGCCTTCCGGCCCTGTCGCACCCGTCCGGCCCCGGCGCACCCGCCCGGCCCCGTCGCGCCCAGCCCGGCCTCGTCGCAGCCGCCCGGCCCCGTCGCACCCGCCCGGCCGCCGTCCCGCTCGCCCGGCCCCGTCGCACCCGCCCGGCCCCGTCGCGCCCGCCCGGCCCCGTCGCACCCGCCCGGCCCTGTTGCACCCTGCCCGGCCACGTCGCAGCCGCCCGGCCCCGTCGCACCCGCCTGGCCGCCGTCCCGCTTGCCCGGCCCCGTCGCACCGGCCCGGCCCTGTCGCACCCGCCCGGCCCCGTCGCCCCAACTCGGCTCCGTCGCGCCCGCTCGGCCCCGTCGCCCCGTCCCGGCCCTGTCGCACCAGCCCGGCCCCGTCGCGCCCGCCCGGCCCCGTCGCGCCAGCCCGGCCCCGTCGCGCCCGCCGGGCCCCGTCGCGCCAGACCCCGGCCCCGTCCTCCCCACTGGTACGGTTCCCCCCCACCCCGCCCTGCACTGCCCTGCTCCGTACCGCCCCGCACCACACTGTACTGCCTTGCACCGCACTACACCGCACTGCACCTCACTGCACCGCACTGCACCGCACTGTACCGCACTGCACCGCACAGCACCGCACTGTACTGCACTGCACCGCACTGGACTGTTCCTGATGGCGGCGGAGCTTCGCTTCGACGCTGAAGGTCAGCCCCTAGAGTTCGAGGCGTGGCTTGCCGACCTCCGCCGCCAACTCACTGGCAGCGGCAGGATGGTGAACCGCTTTCCGCACACCTTGACGGTACGCTCCCCTGCCCAGACCCCCCTGCTATTCTGCCCGCTGACCTCACACCCACTGAGCGTGAGTCTACTGCTGCCACTGCCCGTGCGCGCTCTGTCTGGCTTTCTCACGATGCTGTCGCCCAGCTTGCCATTAGCAACGCCCTCCCCCCGTCCGAGCGTCCTCGCTTTAGGTCCCTCACTACTGCTCAGGCATACTTAGATGCTGTCATCAAGCGCTATTCCACCCCTCCGGCTGCCTCGGTGGGTCGCCTGATCCTCCCGATGCTCTTTCCTGACCTTGCATCTTTCCCCACTGTCTCTGACCTCGCTGCCCACCTGCGCTCGATAGAGGAGACCTGGCGCGCCGCCTGCACTGACGCACAGCTTAGAGCCCACCAGCCGCCCATTACCTCTACCCTCTACCTGCTTGCCACCCGCCTCCCTGACCACCTTGCTGTCGCCCGCGACCACTTCCTTAGCATTCACCCCGCCGACCTCACCCTCACTGACTTTGTAGACACCCTGACTGTGATAGAGACCCGTCACCGCTCCATCGCCCAGGCGAGCGGTGTCGTGCCGGTCCCTATCTTTCAGGGTTGTGCCCCCGCCCAGTGTACCTTCTCCGACGGCTCTGTCGCCGTGGCTGAGACTGCTGCTGCAGCGCAGTTTCGTTCGGGGAAGGGCCGCCGCCCCAGGGTTGAGCGCGGCGGAGGCGGGGGTGCGGGAGGGGGTAGTGGTGGGGTCGGGTCGTCTGGTGCTGGAGCGGACGAGGGGACCCTGCCCAGTCCAGCTGAGCCGCCGCCCCTGCAGTTGCAGCAGCCGCCGCAGTCGCAGCCCTCGCAGCAGCCATCGCAGACGCGGCAGACGAGTGTCCTCCCGCCCGGGTGGCCCGGCGCTGGCGGTGGCTGGGCGCGTGGTGGTGTGTCGAGTGGTAGCTCTGGCGGCGGGCGCTGTCAGTACCAGATCCAGACCGGTCCTCGCCGCGGCTTCGTTTGCGGTAAGATCGGTCACTCCACTCCCCGCTGTTTTCGTCGCCTGGACGACCTCTTTCGTCAGCGCTTCGGCCCGTCGCCAGACCTCCCGGACTGGCACAGTTTGCTTAGTCGTAAGATTCAGATTTTTGATATGGACATGGATGCCATTGTTTCTGCTCTACATGTGATGTATGCTGATGACTCTAGTGTGCTTCCAGCTTATTACTCCCTGTTGCCTAGTGTAGGTGTGCCTAGCGTAGCCTCCCCTGCTGCGTCAGGCGTAGGATCCTCTGCTTTGTGTAGTCTTGGTGCTTCCGCCGTCGTTCCGTCGCTAGACGCCTCTGCTTCGCTTTCCTTCACCTTGGACTCTGGCGCTTCTCGGTGTTTCTTCCGCGACTCCACCACCCTGACGCCGCTTCCTGTTCCTGCTGCCGTTTCTCTTGCTGACCCCTCTGGCGGTCCGGTAGTCGCCCGCAGTTCCACCACCCTTCCCTGTCCGGCGGTTCCTTCGGGCTCTCTTACAGGTCTGCATATCCCCTCGTTCTCCAGGAACCTAGTTGGTGTCGGCTGCCTCCAGGACCTTGGCGTCACCACTACGTTCCCTGGTCACGAGCGGTATGCTGTCTGTACCGAGGCCGCCACGGGTGCCCCCCTGTCCACGTTCCCCCGGGACCCGGTGTCCGGCCTGTTCACTCTAGACACCGTGACCCCCCCGGCTGGGGCGCTCCCTCAGGTGGATGCGTCTTCCCAGGTTGCTGCTGCCTGCTCCTGTCGGTCCCTCACTCACCCGACGCTCCTTTGGCACCACCGCCTAGGTCACCCTGCGCTCCCGCGTCTGCGTCACATGTCCCAGCACGGTCTTGTCCTTGGTCTCCCACGTTCTCTTCTCGCGTTTCCCTCCTCCCCAGCCCCACCTTGCACGCCTTGTGTCGAGGGTCGGCTTCGCCGTGCCCCTCACTCCTCCTCGTTTCCCCCTACCGCCGCACCGCTGCAGACCCTGCACCTGGACGTCTGGGGCCCCGCCCCCACCCCTGGGGCCGCGTCGAGAGCGCTACTTCCTTGTGCTCGTCGACGACTTCACTCGTTACACCACAGTCTTTCCCCTGGAGCGCAAGGCCGACGTGCTTGGCGCGCTCATCCCCTGGCTTGTCTCTGCGCGTGTCCACCGCGATCTCCCTGTCTTGCGTCTTCACTCAGACCGTGGTGGCGAGTTTGCCTCAGGTGTCCTTGGTCGCTTTTGTCGTGCGGAGGGCATCACCCAGACGTTCACCCTACCGGACTCCCCACAGCAGAATGGGGTCGCTGAGCGACGCATCGGTTTGGTGATGGAGGTGGCTCGCACCTCCATGATCCATGCCGGTGCACCCCATTTTCTGTGGCCGTTCGCTGTGCGCTACGCTTCTCACCAGCTTAACTTGTGGCCGCACCCTCAGCAGCCACAGGTTTCGCCGACCCGTCTTTGGACTGGGTCTCCTGGTGACGCGTTTGCGTTCCACGTCTGGGGCTGCCTTGCTCACGTCCGTGCCTCCGGCACGGACAAGCTCACTGCCCGCACCCTTCCCTGCGTCTTCCTCGGTTTTCCCCTTGACGCGTCCGACTGGCACTTTTACCACCCGCCGTCTCACCGCTTCTTTCACTCTCGTGACGTCACCTTTGACGAGTCCGTCT